GTGTTTTGATTATTATATGTCAGGGGGACTTCTTTTTGTGGTCCAGTCTATTTGGTGTCCTGTAAAGTTCTTGTACTTTCATAGGCATATCCTTTTGTAGGTTGGGGAAGTTTTCTTCTATGATTTTGTTGAATACGTTTTCTGTTCCTTTGAAGGTGTTTCTTCACCTTCTTCTATACCTATTATTCTTAGGTTTGGTCTTTTCACAGTGTCCCATATTTCCTGGATATTTTGTGTTAGGGATTTGTTGGACTTGAGGTTTCCTTTGGTTGATGAATGTATATCCTTTAGCGAGTCTTCAATAGCTGAGATTCTCTCTTCTGTCTCTTGGATTCTATTAGTTATACTCATGCCTTTAGTTCCTGATAGTTTATCCAGTCTTTCCATTTCCAGCATTGCCTCATTCTGTGTTTTCTTTATTGTGTCTAATTCAGCTTTCATGCTTTGAACTGTTTCAAGAGCTTCCTTCACTTGTTTGGTTGTTTTTTCTTGGGTTTCTTTAGATTCTTTAAGAGATTTGTTTATTTCTTGAATTTTTTGGTTTGTCTTTTCCTCCATTTCGTGTAATTTTTGCTTGATATTTTTCTTCTATTTCTTTAATGGATTTTCTTGTTTCCTCTTTGAAGGTCTCTATCATCTTGCTGAGATAATTTTTGAGGTTCATCTCTTCTTCGTGCTGGGCTTCACTGTGTTGGGCTTTTTAGATCTTGCTGGAGTGGAGTCTCTAGATTCTGGTGGTGTTATATTGGTCTTTCTGTTGTTGAGCGAGTTCTTATTCTGTCTTCTTCCCATATCTTTTTCCAGTGAGTGCAGGTGAGGACTCTCTATCTCTTCTTGTTACCCAATAGTGTGTGTGGGCCAGGAATTCAATGTCCGAAGCTCTGGATGGTCTTGCCTCTCCTGGTAGTCTCCTCACTCTGAAGGAGTTAGACCTCCATAGGTGTCAGGTGTGTGGGGGCGGGACAGGAAGTAAGAATGGGGTGTTTCCAGGCTCTGGGAGTTCCTCACTGCCTGGGCAGGTCTACCCCAAGCAGAAGCAGGCCCGGGGAGATCGGGGTGGATGGGGCTTTGGAAGGGAGTTGGGTATGAGCAGTGGATCACTCACCTCATTGTGGATCGGTGGGCAGAAAGGGAAGGAAGAGTAGCCTGTACCCAGATTCAGGGAGCTCCTCCCTGCCTGGGCGTGTCTACTCCAAGCATGCACAAGCCCAGGGATATCTGGGTGAATGGCACTTTGGACAGGAGTTGGGTAAGAGCAGGCGGTCACTCACCTAGTTGCTGATGGGTCAGTGGAAAGGGAAGGAAGAGTAGCCTGTACCCAGATTCAGGGAGCTCCTCCCTGCCTGGGCGTGTCTACTCCAAGCATGCACAAGCCCCGGGAGATCTGGGTGAATGGCACTTTGGACAGGAGTTGGGTAAGAGCAGGGTGTGCTTAGTCGGTGTGATTAGTCGGCGGAAAAAAGCGAAATGTCTCATATTTTTAAAGATGATAGAGAAAGCAGAATATAAAGAACAATTTTGTTTTGGGGGAATCCTGGTTCTGTCTGTTCCTGCGCCTCCTCAAAGCTCTCCCAGATGGTTTCTGAAATATTCATTACTGTGCTGAGCTTTTGACATAATATCAATAACTTTGGTAAGGTATTCTTTGTGAGTCTATGCATATACTTAGAATATTGACACAGTGCCCTCAGGGATATAAGCTTGTGTGTTGTTAGCTTTCAGGGAATGTAGATGTAGCTGTGGGAGAAAATGGTCAGATTTCTTTACAAGTCCCAGAGACATTCAGTACCATAAAAAGCCCTGATGTTGGTCTTAAAATTGGCCTCACCAATGTCCCCAGTCAGACTCTGGAGGACACTGAACAAAAACCAAGAAAAGTGGAGGAAAGAAGTTTGTAGGGAGAAGGGGTGCTGGTAGGGATGGAAGGGAAGTCAGGGGGAGGGTGTGGAATCCACTGTGCACATGTATGAAATTGTAAAAGAATAAAAGCTACTGAAAGTGATAAATGAATTTGTATAACAACTGAGCTTTAGATAGTCTTTAATATATTAGCAATTAAAACTTTTAAACATAAAGCCATGAAGTTTATTAGTTTTATCATTTTCTGAAAGTAAAGATATCTTATAATTAGGAAAATTTCTAGAAGAAGGAAGTAAGTTTTCCATTTTCTATTGTAAAAAACAGAAAATGCAAAACTACTGTTAACAGTAGTTTAGATAAATACTCAGTATTTTGCCTGTTTGCAGAAGCAACAGTGAACAGGATAAGGACTCAGGCAAAAGTGTATTCATTTCTTTCTGGTCTGTTGCCCAATGAATGCAAAAGCATGGGTTTCTGACCAGGCCAGTTTGGAATTGTTATTGTAACAAAAACTAAACGACAAGTGGCTAATAAGCAATTTACAGAAGATACATGGCATAGTCCACTGGTCAGCAGATGAGCTATAGCAACCAAAACTCACCAGCCCAGCCACCATGTTCTAATTATAGACAGGAAGCCCTGAACCCCATATACAGTGCAAATTGGCCCCTGTAGATTCAAAATTATTTCATTGTTGTTACAGACATTAGCTAAGGAAGAATATTTGAAGAATTTATATTATAGCCAGATTTACTGGCTAGTTCTACAAATGGAGTATTGCCATGGCGGCCACAACATTGTAATTCACAGACATTTTTTCAAGAATCTGTTTTCATATTATAGAAACTAAAGTGCAGAAAGAAAGGGGGAAGTAATTTTTAAAAACTCGTTAAATGGCTTTAAAACCAATTTTTATCTATAACACCATTTCTGGAAAAGTGTAGACAGTTATTTAAGCTCCCATCTTATTTGTATACTCTGTGTAGCATTGGAGCAATGCCATTCTTTAATAGAGCAACAGGAATGTAGCTATTCAAAACCTCCTTTTAATTCTCTAGAACAGAGCTGTTAATGACACATTCCATTAGCAGTCTTCCATCTGACAGTGCATTATAACTTAGCCAGAGACACAACTTGAGATATATCCTTTCTTCTTGCCTTTAAAAACTCACTATTTTCTTTTCCAGGTTTCTCATGAGAATTGTCATTTGCAGTGGGCTTTCTTCCACAGGTAATATGGCAATTCTGCTGCTTCTACTTTTTCAATGCCAATGTATTTTTGGGATGTAGTTCTATAGAATTTTGTCCTGTTTAGTTACATTCCCAAGCCTGGGCCTGAGTTATCACTGAAATCCTCAAAATGTGGACCTTCTGTTTCTTACACAGTCACTTATAGAGAGGGCACCTCCACTGAAGTCAGGTTCTCTGATGAGTAAATGTATGCGAACATGTGGACACAGCCTTCTCTGTTTGGAACTTGGATGTGTATACTTTGCTCTATTGAAATAATCCTCACCCTGGTAACCTCAGTACACAACAAGTTGAAGGTGGGGGATTGCCACAAATTGGAAGCCAACCATGAGCTGAAGAGGAAAGCCATAGGGAAATAATGTGCTTACAAAGAATTTTGCTTATAGTCGTCATACCTTAATGTATAAATAAATACTCCTATTACTATTGTTAGGTTTAGGCTGATAAGAACAGTAAAATACCTAAAAAACATTTAAATATATTTAATACAACAGACTATTTTGACTTTGTGCACTAATTTATAGCTATAATTATTAAAACTCAGTTTCTTGTACACTTATTTTACTTTCAAGTCATTTCTAGTCCTTATGTCTTATCTTAGGGGAAAATTTATGTAAGACACATTGCTACCAAGTACAGGTGACTAAGAATTTGAGAGCTTTTTTGGCCCCAGATTTCTAGAAATGTATGCCACCAGTTAAATCCTTCACATTTAGATTTATCTACAGCTTTTTTTGATGAAGCCATGCAGACCATCAATCATTATGATTGACCACTATGTGTGGTCAACACAGTGTAGAATGTGAGTGTTGTCTGCACATGATTTTGGCTATATCATCATGTTCTACAAATCAGAGGAAGTATGAACCACACAGATATGCAAAGATGTTGGCCTTTTACTGATCAGAACATATCCTGCCCACTTATCCTCCAAGCTCAGTGGGCAGAAAAGACCTGAGTTTTCTTAAACCATTCCTGAATTTAGTCCTATTTCAGCCAATCTATAGCTTTTGTGCTATAAAATTCTGAGCATGATGAGAAATTAACAAGCCCTTAGGACAAATATGTATTGCATCAAGATTTATTCCTTCATAAAAGCCATTTTAACTTTTGAATTATTCTAACAGTATAGCATACAATAAATTACATGATTCCAAGTTGCTTATTCCATAAGTTATCAAAAGCAATTTCATTCACTCATAAGGCTTAGAAAGCCATGAATCACTATGATTCATTTTAGAACTGAATCTGTAATCAGGACCCAAAGTTACATGTATTCTAAGTGTTTATTGTATGCCAAGTGAACTTATTTCTTATTTGATATATCACTTTTCATATAATTCTGTTTAGGAACTCTTATGTTAATGTGTAAACAATGAATTGATAAAGAAAGGCCTTAATCAAGTCATTGTTTCTTCAACTCTTAAACTAAGCAAAAGTAAGCACATGTGATTTGAGCTCAGGCCCTACTGTGATAAAAGCCACAAGAGGTCCAAGCCTTTTGTTAAACTTTGCTGTCTGTTCTGATATTACATGTTTCTTTTCCAGAGTTATGGAAAGCAGATGAACTGTGATAACATACAATACTTGTCAACACTTTTAGTAAGGAAGAAGGCTAATCTTTCTAATTTTGAAAACACAATTAAAATTGTCTTCAAAAGGGAACTGGCAAACTTTGAAGACATGTTTTCAATCCAGAGTTCTTAAAATACTGGATGGGTCATTAAGTTCTCAACACCCCATTTAGTTCAGAGTGTATATAGCATGTGTAATGACAAAAATTACGGGATTACAAAGAAAATACTTCTTTATTGAATCTGATTCTCTATTTTCGTAAGCTATCAAAATTAAGCTACAAAAATTATCAAAACTATGAAACTACCAAAACCAACAGAAAAGCCACATATCTTCAGCTACAAGAAAAATTGCTGTGGAGAGATAGATTCAAATCAGATTGGATGCTTTGATGATTGGATGCTTTCCAGCCACACTGATGATATTGTATGTGATTGATAGCACCTGTGTGCAGGGCAGCATGCTGGGCTTGGTGTTTGCTGACTGATGTCTGCCAGCTCCATCTATGTGAAGGAGAGCATGTGCCCGAACTGCACTGCACTTTTGACTTGGAACATTGCTGCGTGGATCACTAGGTGAGCAAAACAGTCACAGAAGGTCTGCATAGCTACCCTATTTGTTCAGCTGTAGTTCTGGCTTTAAGAGAGACAATGAGGGTGTGACTATCCACACTATTACTTGGCATATGGTTTCTTGTTGAAGAAAAGAAAATCCCTCCTGCTGGTTTGGTCTGGTCCCATGTTTATGGCATATTGGAATAGGCTCAGATGGTAGATCCATACAAAGCAGTCAATTGCAAATAACTTAAAAATGATTGGTTTATATTAGTTCCATGTTTTATATAAAATGCATTGTATACATTCTGCCAAAGTATCACATTTATCATTTAAAATTGCAGATTATGGGTATGCATTCTTCCTTTTTATTTTTAGTCTAAAATGAAGCTGAAGAAGCATTTTTATAATGGGAATTTCATATGCACAAGCCCTGGCCTCTCATACTTGAAATATCTTTCCAGCATTGCTGCAGCCTACAGAGCCCTCCTCACTCATATGTCTCACAGTGGAATCAGGCAAGGACCCTCAGACACCGCAGGGATATCTCTCCTTCACAACTCATAATAATCTCTAGATTTTCAAAGCTCAAAAATAATTTAAATCCATACAAACAGCCAAATTCAGTAGTAGGCAATACTGAGCTATATTTAAGTTTTGACTTAAGGGGACACTATTTTTACCCCAAGAGACTCTATGTTTAGCCTTTACTTTTTTTGCAGTCAAGTTATAAAATACAAATTTGCATAGCTGCTTTGGACATAACATTTCATTGACTTAGTTGTGCAGTTATTCACAGTCTTTTATTTATTTCAGAAAGAAATCAAGTGAAAAGGGTGAAAATACTTTAATAAATATTTTTCAAGATGAGGTACTGTTTTTATTTTGACATTCCTTTCTCTGTTGCACAGTGCTCAATTTTTACTTAATTTGATTATAGATGGTCTTTATTTCAATATTAAAGATATCCTGGTTTTGCTAACACATCCAGCTGCTTAATTTATTGGTTCTGCAGGTGAAAAATTAATATTTTCAATATGCAAAATAATAAAACCAAAGGGCTCATATGGAAAAATACCTGTGATTCTCAGGAAACACTGGGTCTCTCCATTGTCTTACAGTGAGAAATTGTAGGTCCTCAGCCTCGTGGGACAAGTTCCTTTGGCTGTTGTGAGAACTGGATATAAACAAGGAACTTCTACTCATAGTTTGATGTTTAGTAATCCAGTATCCACCATTTTGTGTTTCCTCCCTCCCTCTCTCCCTCTGTCCCTCCCTTCCTCTCTCCCTCTCTTTTTCCTTCCCTCTCTTCTCTCTCTCTCTCGCTCTCTGCCCCCCACTCTCTCTCCTTTAACTTTGACCTCTCAGACTTGTACCTCTTTTTACAAGATAGCTGTCCATCACTGGGGAAGAACTTCCCCACCACATGTGAGAATTAGAAGTGTGGGGTCACATGTTTATACCTCTGTCACTTCTCTAGGTGGTTTGTGACAAAGCAGAAAACTGTGAACTCTGTTTGTTCAGCTGTGAGGTAATTTATAGTCTAGAGCAGTGGTTCTCAACCTCCCTGATACTGCAACCCTTTAATATAGTTGATCATATTGTGGTGACTCCACAATCATAAAATTATTTTTGTTTGTACTTCATTTTTGTTTGTTATTCTGCTACTGCTAATGAGTAGGAATGTAAATATCTGTGTCTTCTGATGGTCTAAAGGGACACCTGTGAAAAAGTCAGGTTGAGAACTTCTGTTCTAGAAGGTCCCTGGCTACTCCACTGCAGTCTTTTCTGCCATCCTTCACTAAGAGCTGACCCCTACTGGGCCCCTTCCCAGGTCAGTCCCCAACTTTGTTGCTGGATCACTTTGAAAGCACTATTATTCTGACAGCTATCATGATCTTATCTCAAGGTCTTTATTCTTAGCAAAGAGACAGAAGACATATAAGTTCTGTCTGCACAATCACCACACACCAAGTCTTCCCCTGGGAACAGGTTGGGGCACTGCATGTTTTCTTGATCCCTTTTCTTCTTTTCCTTGCCTTGAAGCAGATTTTTCTAGAAGCAAACCTTACATTTTCATTATTTTTCTGTACATTTGTTTCCTCACAAAGCCCCACCACCACCACAACCACCAACACACACACACACACACACACACACACACACACACACACACACACACACACACACACACACCTCTGGTCTTCCTACACTTGTTGGTTTTTTGCAGGAGCACCATACACACTTATGGAAACATGTGTATATGTGTGTATAGAAACCCATACACACTCATAAAAAACATGTGTGTGTGTGTGTGTGTGTGTGTGTGTGTGTGTGTGTGTGTAGAAATTTAAGACATAGATTCAGTAATGTTTCTATTTACCTAGTAAACACAAGTGCTAAAATTTGAGCTAATGTCCGTGACTCCAATTCATAACATCAGTTAATTTTTAAGGGGCATCATCTCATAGACCCTGAGGAGAAAGCTAGACCTATGCTTCTGGGAATGTTGGCTATTGCAAATGCAGATCGATCATGGGTTTTACCCTATGGCTTCTGACTTAGAATCTCTGGTTTCAATATACTTACCATTTTTACATTGTTTTGAAAACCTGTTGTTAATATATCTTTATTCTTGGTAAAAATTCAGTTGATTGGCACCATTTCACAAACTTTCACTGAAAATTTTGGACAAACTTTGTATTAGTTACAAGTAGAAAAACAGATGTTTGCCTCTTGGTATTTACTATTGGATTCAAAGGAGTCAGCTAATGAAATAGACAAGACTCTGAACCAAATTGTCAGTCTGAAAACAACTATAAACTGTGGAGTTGCTTGTACAGTGATAAGAGGTCTCCTGTGTAGAAAAGTTCACACCAGTGGTGTGCCTGCATATTTGTGTGTTCTTAACATGAGACTGCTAACAAATAGTATGTGATCTTGAAGCTGTAAGCCCCCAAATTACACCTAATTCCACACACTGACACCATGTCCAGGCTCTAGGATGACCAGGTGTGTACCATAGTTTATAGAGGAGAGAGAGACTGAGCTTATTTCCAACTTAATACCAATGGTCAAAATGGAAACTTAAAATATCTATTTTAAGAGAGAAGAAGATAAAAGGTCAGGATTCAGTAGAGCATTAGTGTTTCAGAAGGTAGCAGTTCCCTAGTTATTCCAACACTTGTTTTGAATTCCTCTGTGGCCTCAGTAGAATATATGGTAGTTCTAAAACTCTATGCCTAAAAGTAGGTCAAGGATGCACTCAAGTGTTAACCTGTTAAGTGCGAATTTTACCTTGGACAGACTAAGACTGTTTCTTTCAATTTTGTAGCTAAAATCTTGGAGTAACCTGTCCCCATAAAGCCACCACATTAACAATGGAAGAGTTAGAAAACTCTACACTGTAGTACTCAGGAACTGGGATCTAGAAGTCAAGATGACCATTGCCTTGTCAGTGCCACAGTAAGTCCTTCTTGCAGTTTCACGAACACCTGCAAGCTTTTAGAAACAAGTGTTATTAGTTTGTCAAATGCTGGCATCACTTTATCTAGCCTTCTAATATTCTAATTAAGTGGGCTTGCTTTATCTATTCATTCATTCATTCATTCATTCATTCATTTGCTTGTTTATTTATTTATTTTCCTGAGTCAGAGTCTTGACTTGTTGCCCAGATCCCCTTGCCTTAACTCTGAGTGCTAAGATCACAGCTATGCCTCTATAGCCGTACCAAACCCTAATAAAGCCATTTTGGAAAGAAAGGTAGATTTGGATCTAAATATAGTCACCCCATCTTTTATCTTAGCCCAAGTTAGTTGTTACGATAAATCTTTCTGCCAAAAGCTACCTGAGCCCCATCGCCACATGTGAGCTTTATGCCAGCCGCCCGCCTGAGTTAGACTCAAATGAATACACAGAAACTTATTAGGTACAATGCTGCTTGGCCAATGACTAGGATTCTCATCTGTTAGTTCAGTCTTAACTATCATAAATCTATACATTTTATAAGACTTATCTTAACGGATGCCTTATTGGCGTCCCTCATTGCTGGTGGATCACATCGTGCCGCTGGAGCAGGAACGGAGGGGAAAAGAGAGGCCCTTCCTGTTTCTCCTACTTCCCCCATCAATTAGTAACTCATTCTTAGCTGGAATCTGGGTCATAAGAAATGGCAGTGGTATATAATATACAAGGTAGAAAGGAAAAGCCGAGAGGCAGAGTGTTAAAGAATTTGGACTCAGTTCACATATTAGTCAACATCAGTTTGCCAAGTTCTGTTAGTAGTCAGCAAGTAGTAAATATGACCCATCAACCATCAATTTTTGCATTCCTCTATCTCCCCTTCCCTCCCACCACCACCACCGTGTGTGTGTGTGTGTGTGTGTGTGTGTGTGTGTTAATTTCTCTTTGGAAAGCATACAGGCCTTTTTCTCCTCTTGAAATGGCAAGAATCAAGAACTGTTTCTCCATTGAATGGTTGTAACAGTTTCTCAACAGTATTTTTGCATGTCAGTCATATGTACTCCTGGGTGATTGCCTCCACAAATATGGGGACTGAATTGATGATTCAGAGTAGGAAGCTAAAACAGTGATCTCAAATTTTAAAAAGAAAAACATTTAATGTGAAAGAAGTATTTCCATTCTTAACACTTTAATCATTTAAACAATGTATCAGTTTTTTAATTTAATGTTTTTACCCATAGAAAGCTATGGAACAAAGTTTAGTTGGAAGTAATGAATTTTAAACAATGCCTCTTTCTTCTTACCATAGAGTAGAAGTTTTCTTTCATTTCTTTAATTTTTTACATTTATTTATGTCTGTGAGTGTATGTTCCTGTGTGTGTGTGTGTGTGTGTGTGTGTGTGTGTGTGTGTGCATTAGTGGTACATGCACATAAGCTAGAAGAGGGGTTGGATCCCCTGGAACTGGAGTTACATATGTTTATGAGCTGCCATGTAGGTGTTAGGAACTGAACCCCAGTCCTATGGAAGAGCACCAAGCATTCTTAACTTTTGAACCATCTCTCTAGTCCCAAGTTAGATATTATTTTGCAAGGGGGAAAGATAAAAGACTTGAGAACTCTAGAACTACCATTGTGGGAATAGGCTGCTGGACAAGCATGAAAGGCGCTATGGAAAGCAATCCCATTTGTCCAGTCAAGCTCTGCTTGGCATATGACATGAGTGAACACCCATATGAAGCCCTAAAGGATCATATGGCTGATAGGTTGATAGTCATAGAAGTCCAGGGAGATGGAACAATTGATAAAGGAACAACTGCACAAGCATGGGAACCCAAATTCTGTCACCAGCAAGAGAGAGAGAGAGAGAGAGAGAGAGAGAGAGAGAGAGAGAGGAGGCACTGAGATAACAGGTAGATCCTTGGGGCGTATTTGGTGCCCAGCAATTGGAGCCCAATGGGTGAGGGGCAGGTTCAGTGAGACCCTGTCCCAAAGAAGAATGTAGAGAGTTGTTGCCAAAGACAGCACCCATTGTGGACCTGTGCTCCTCATGTGCATGCATACATACACACATATATGCAAGAAAAAATTGTCATAGTGAAAACTATGGCTAGTGGAAATATAGCTGCATAAGCATGCTATTGACAAATGTAGTTGCACTTGAGACTTCCCACACTCTGCCATTAGCCTGTTAAAGTCATCCTATGGGGAATGGACTTACTATGGAAATCTAACCTTGTACACCTGAGTTCTGTGCATATTGACTATTAAATATTAGTGAGGATAAATAACTCCTCAGTTTAAAAGGCACATAAATGAAGTACCTGGCCCACTTCCCTGGCTATGGTCATGCTCAGAGCATGGCAGCTGCATCATGGGACTCTGTGCTTGCAGACAGGTATGCTTCATGTGGTTAATGGTGTTAACAGTCTATTGAAGTGAGAATAAAGTGAAATTGCTAATAGTAGGAGGCTTCTGTCTCCGATAGAAGGATCTAGAATGAGTAGTGTCAATCTGGGCTTGGCTCTTCTACAATATAAAATCTTATACATAAGGAGAGTTTTTAAAGAACCTAAGTGGACACAAATCTTGAAAAAATAGAAGTGAACTAATAAAATTAGTGACTCGGAAATGAGTTGAAGAGAGTTGAGTCATGAGAGCTACAGCTAAGAACAGTGAATTGCTGCCATTGAAGGAGGAAGGCTTCCTGGTGTATTTGTGCCCCATGGTGGCCTTTTGAGTGTGCAGTACTAGAGGACAAAGTCTGAGGTAAATGGGGGGTAAAATTTACTTTTTTTCTGAGAATTAAAGCCACCTCCCTCTGCAGGTAGCCATGATTTATGGTCCATTCCTTAGGAGTTCATGAGTGAAGACAGCATTCTAGTGACTGCTTGCATCGTCACTAGAACCTCCCCTACTGTGTGTGCATGTTTGTCTAGACTTAATGTGTCTGTGCATGTACATGTCTGTCTGTGTAGTCTCTCTGTGCATATACATCTGTGTATATTTCTTTTCATATGAATGCTAAACATTTGATTAGTGACTCACTAATAACCTAGGTAATAATTATAATTTCATCTTTACTAGTAACATCCAAAGACTCTGTTCTAAACAAGTTCACATTTTGAGCATATTTTGGGGACTATAACATCCACATAAAAATTTGAGAAGGACCTGTTTCAATTCACAACATTGAGGTGTGGTTTCTTTATGTTTGGCTTTCTGATGAAGGATGCTTATAGAATGTTCTAGAAGAGAATGAGAGAATGCTGATGCAAAAGAGAGGAGGAAAATGGATGAAAAACCACTAAGTTGTTTCAAGATGGAGTCATTTTAATTTTGAATATATTGTATTAGATGCATGTCAGCACACATGCACGCATGCGCGCGCGCGCGAGCGCACACACACACACACACACACACACACACACACACACACACACACACACACACACACTGAGGATAAGCAAATGGGAATAAGATGCAGAACTAATAGGAAAGTCCTGTAGAAAGAACTGCCTTCCCGCCAGTGTAAAGGAACAAAGGAACATGTTAACATGGATGTTACTGGGAGGGGCAGGATTCTGCTGGGAAGAATCCAGTGTGCTGGCTTCTGTTCTGATGTGAATAACACAATGACATTTACATCCAAAAGGAAGGCTGAAAATGTGGGGGCTTTGGAGAGAAGCAGGCATTAAAAAAATGTCTTAAGAAATGTCTTAAGAAACAGGAAAGGAAGTCACTAGGGACATGTTTTAAAATTAAAACAAAGATACTGCATGGGATTGGTTAACTAGTTAACTGCATCTTGATAGCTAGAAATAGGATAAAACAGAATAGGAAACAAATTCAACAAAATGAGCTGGTGTGGAAGGAGCCATTGTGATGAATAGCACAATGTCACTCTCCATACAGTGATTCTCTATAGCTAAAGAAATCATGCATGGGCTGACATACCGTTTTTATTTTTTAACCATGGAAATATGTGCAAAAGACTTTTAAAAATGTTCACAATATTAATTTTGGGAAAAGGTGCTGAGTGATACACACACACACACACACACACACACACACACACACACACACTGTTAGTTAATTAGCCAAAGCCTAAAGTGGTTAAGCAGTTTGCCATAAATTTCTAGCTGGAACTCACATTCTGTAGCATTCTCAGAACATGAAGGCAACAACAGTGCAGACAGCAGATGCACATGCCCTGGCTGGTAGCTAGGTCATAGTGTTTCTATCCTTCTGAGGTATATGATATCTGAGTAACCTTCACAGAACTTTCAACTGACTTTTAGTGATTTGTACTGAATTCAAATTAGGACCACTACAGAGACCCCCTGTCTCAGATTGCAAGGTTTTAACTGAATATGTTAATATTTTATAAAAGAATAATGAATAATAATAGTAATAATAATAATAATAAATTGTGACCACTCTAATTGGGTAAAAACTAAGTCACTTACACATACATAGGAAATTACAGGAGAAATGTAGAACTTTGAATTATGGGAAGGCTTTTATTAACCACTGTCAATCTGTAACTTCTGAGGCCGACTTTAAATCTTGCCTCCATTAAAAGCTTCATGATATATGTCATTTTTCTAGAGAGGAATTCAAGCACAAAGCCACACAGAACTGGTGAGCTTTTCCTTTTGGGATTTGGGCTAAAACAACCTGATTATTTATAATGCACAAAGTAAAAATTAATGCCTAGAGAACCCCTAGGACATCTCCCTTGAACTGTCAAAGATCCGCCAGTATTTCAGCATTCTGGCTATGCGGGAAGTATATAAAAAATGTGCTCTACAGCAGGGCCTGATCTCTCAAGGGCATTATAAGTTCAAGGTCAGACAGGGCTACAGAATGAATTAAAGGCCAGTCTGGAGTCTGGGCAACTTAGCAGGAGCCTGTTTAAAAAATTAATTAATTAGTTAATTAATAATGAAATAAATACATGACTAAATGGTCTGGGGATGTGCTTATCTATAGGGCACTTACCTAGAATGGTCTGGGCAACTAGTAAGAGTCTATGTAAAACAATAACAACAACAAAAAAAACAAATAAATAAATAGGCAGAGATGTCTTTCTCTATAGAGCACTTTCCTAGCATGATCAACACCTAGGGCCAATTCCCAATTCCACAAAAAGCCCAAAACTAAACAGCAAAAATGGATGTATAATGCATGCTTTGAGAATTACTAACAAAAACAAACAAACGAAAAACCAGCAACAAAAACTGTACTTCTTGGGAATTCATGACCCTAAGGAGCCTCAGAAAAACTACACTGGCTGAAAAACCCAGCCTGGCCGATTCAGACATGAGCAAAGCTCCCCTTGTCAAAGTGGTGGCCCATTGGATGTGTGTTCCCTTCAAACAGTACAAGAAAAGCTGAGTCATGCAAAGGGTGAAGGTAAAAAGTGTGTGATCTGAACACTAACTGATATCAGTCAACACAGAAAAAAATAAAAACAACTCAGAATTAAGTTGACTTACAAGTTCTAGCTGCAAGATTGAAGAGAATTATAGACAAATGGAAACTTTTTACTCATGTTGGGTGGTAGGGTGCTATAAATACCCAGGTCTCTTGATCTGATAAGAAGACCCTTCCAGAAATGGAAACTCTTCCAGCAAAAAGGATCACTAGGTACAAAATGAGGACAATTGTATTTAGTCTAACATAGGTGACTGAACTTGGATCAGTCTCTCTTGTATGTATAGTTATCATTGTTAGCATAAAACATTGCACCACTGGTCATTGGTCACCCTAAAACAGGGATAATCATGCAGCTTGTTTGGGCTTTGGTTTCAAGAACAGCTCAGTTGAGTTCTGGATGAGGATCTGTGTAAGATTGCAGTTGGATGTGAGCTAGTTGCAGATGCTGACATACATGGAAGCTTGACTGAAGTGTTGGCAAGACTAGCCATGCAGTGCCTGGGGAGCCTGGGCTTCTAGCAAGTAGGAAGGCTCACTTGTCATCACTATTGGCATCTCCACAGGACTGATCCTCACAGCTAACATAGCAGCAGCTTGAGTACTACTTTCTTGAATCTACTCTGGAAATCCACTGGATGACACCTTTGGTGGTCTACTGATCTCACAAATTAGTCCTGCTTCTCCCAGGGATCACTTTGGAGACTCATCACCATGTTTCTCAATTTCTTCTCCATCACCTTGGAAATACAGCTTGTGAACAGTGAGTAGGTTCCATTGTAAGAGGAGTCCCAGGCTCTAAGCCAAGCTCATATTTACAAAGTATAGGATATTTGTAATTGTATATGCCTGTACATATGCAATCCTTAACAGTGTGATATCTACATTCACAGTGAAATGGTATTTAGAGATACTCAATACTTTTTGTTAAGAATCTTAATGTTGTATTTCACAAAAGTATCTGAACTATATTCACTGGGAATATTATTTATTAAACTCTTTTTAAACTTTCCTTTTGTTTATTCTGTCTTTTATATCATGTATCTTGATCCCATTCATTTCCCATCCCTTCTCATCTACCCTCCATGCCTACACTACCCCCCAAATAAAAAAAATTGAAGAGAAAAAAGGAAAAAGACGGTACTAAAAATCTCATCAGGGAAGCTGCAATGTGACACAGCAATGACTCTTTACAATGAACACTTGGAAATAAAGATGCATGGACAAAGGGGTTTACTCTGTGACTGTTTATTACACTCTTGACAATACACCAGTCCTATGCCAAGAAATGAAAGCATTACTAATTTAATTGGCACAGTCACTGAAAGACCCCTGTCCCTTAGCCCTTTCTTTCTCAAGTTTGTCTCCTCTTCCTCCTGTCGGCGGCTTCCCCGATCCCCACCCCCGGTGGCCTTTCCCCGCCCGGCCCGAGAACAAGCACCGGGTGGGGCCGGCCCGAGAA